GATGCGCCGAATCCACCAGGGAGGGAGGCGATCCGTCCCGCCGGCCAATATCCTGGAGCCCGGAAGGTAAGTGACGTTTTATTAGCGTCTGGGTCAAGTACAGCTGCTAAATTCTGTCCTTCACAGGCCTCTGCAAACAAATATCCTCCAGGAACCAGACTTGGCTCTCTCCTCTCATTCCCGCTTCCCGGTGCGATGGAATCTTCCAGGTCATCTACCATAAAACTCTCATAAACTGCCGCCTCCCTCGAAGGAGAGTGAGTTAGTGGAGTCCTCTCGGGACCTCCCAGGTGACACGCTCCCGGGTTCTGGGGTGAGCAGGGTCCCCACGGGCACTGGCGAGGGCCGTGTGCCAGCACTTCTGGAGAAGACACCACTTGGGGTCTTCAGGTCTGGCCGACCCAGACCTCAAGCTCCTCTACGTGGCCTGGGGCTCTGGGGGAGACCCCCCCACACTGTCTAATTAGAGCAGCCTGCGTGATGTCGCAGAAGGGCTCTTTCCTCCACCCCCGGGAGCCACACTCCCCGGTACCTGCTTTCCCAGAAGTGGGGACATTGGGAGTGTGGTCCAGCAGTGGGCGCCTGCATCTTAGAACTTCCTCTCTTCCCGAGTCTATTTGCTGATGAGGCACAAAACGAAAATCCGATGTGGCAGATTTGCGTGCATCACTCGGGGCTTCCATGCTGCAGAGCTCCAGGGTCAGTTTTTAAGAGCCATCATTTATGTGAGCATGAAGTTCCCCCTGCCTGGGACCTAAGACGGTCTCCTTTTCACCAGGCGCATCTGCGCCTTCTCTCTCCCTCTCTGTTTCCCAACGTTGTGCCAGTTCTCACGTTCCTTCTTCTCAAATGTTCCCACCTCCTGGGTTCCCAGCAAGCGCCTCTCCGCTATCCCAGACTTGGGGCATTGGAGACTCAGAGAGTCCCACGGAGTATGCAGAACATCCCATCTGAGCAAGCCTCTCCCAGCCATCGTGTGTGCAAAAACGGAGCAGCCAACTCCCAGGTGCACCTTTTGCTGGCAGGGATGATGGGTCTGAGATGTGTCCCCCCGCCATGTGACAGGTCAGAGATGACAAGGCCTGAGACGGTCCTTCTCTTCTCCAACGTCGGGGCCTCCAACATGCTGGTCTGCTGGGATCTGGCAGCACATCGCACCCACTCTTGGATCTCCAGACTCCCCGCCCTCTGCTTCTGCCCGCATATGTAATGAGCGCCAGACCAAGAGGAAGGGCGGCAGCAGGGGCAGCAGTCCCCTAGCTCCTTCCTCCCTCGGACCACCTACTCAGGGCTCACTAGACGGCCTTCAGCTCGTGCATCCAGCAGAAGGTGTGGACGGAAGAGGCTGGCACACAGGCTGTCACAGCCAGCACAGGACCCGCGGTCCTCACCCTCCTTCCCCGCCTGCCAGACATCCGTCTCCAGCGGTAACAGCAGAACAGGGCAGAAACCACTATTCAAAGAACAAGACATGCTGACTTTCGACTTCTGGTTCTACCTCAGAGGTCACGTCTGCCCTTCAAGCTGGGAGGAGCTGGGGTTTGGGGGGAACTTCTGGAACTGAATGTAAGGGGACGACAAGTTCCTAAACTCACACAGGACTTTTGGATGAAGTCGTGACATCTTATTTTTCTGAGCTCGCCTAAAGTCACGCACATTCAAGGAAGGGGTAAGTGTGTTCCCATAATTTCCTGGAAGATGAATGTCAAAGCTAAAACTGAATCAAGGTGAACGCAATTTATAGAAAGTATAGCCCCATTAACAATAGGGAGGAAAATGCTGATCCCATGGCGAATACTGGAGAAAGCTCTCACGGATAAAAATACAGAAAGAACGCTTTAATCCTGCATGTGATCACACTTTTATTAACCAAGGAAGCCTTGTTTGGAAGCCAGTACATCCTTGAGGCGAGTCTGAAATTAATCCTCCGGTAGGCAGAAATCCACACTATTTATCTATTCTAACCATAATTACAGCCTACTCTTGATGCAAACATCCTAAATTATTAGTCACTTTAAGGACCAGAAAAGGGACTTCCTGCAGTGTAAGGAGGACGTCCCAAGCTTTGAGAAGGAGAAAACCAGGAGACAATTCTGCACGGAGCTGGAGAATGCTGGAGGTAATTTATTTAATAAAAGTGCTTAGTTTCTCTTTTTTGTTGTTATTTAGGAATTGGTACACCTTTCGGGGTTCAGACGGCACCGTGCTTCAGAACTGCTATTTCTAGGGTGACATAAAAATGTGCATCAAAGTAAAAGCATAATTTATCATCCTAATGGTTACATACCACTTTAGAAACCACCAGAGACTGCTTAACATTTTTATTTTATTTCAGACATGGTTTTCCTAAGTCTTCAGGTGACAAACGGATACTGATGCCAGAAGGCTTTCTTTTCCCCCATTTGTTCCTAATAAAAATGGCTAGATGCGGAGTTCATTTTCATCTGGGGTGACGCTAAGGTCTGTGCTTTCACAGCCCGATCCTTCCCTCCCCTCTTTGCGATTCCGTCAAAAGTCTCCAAAGGCAACATGTGGGCCCAGTCACCGAAGACAGATGGGCTCCGTCCACCTCTTCTCCCGGCCCCTCGAGACCTCTGCCAGGGGGGAGTGTGCTGTTTGAACACAATGACAAGCCGACTAAATCTTCCCGGGTAGCGCGTGAGGTGCGTTCCTGCCGTTAGAATCCATCCTGTATCTGCACAAACCTCCTCATTGTGGATAGATTCCTTCGTTTCCCTGGATTTCTAGATGCTGTCATGGAGTCCCATTATATCTCTTGTGATTCTTATTTCCCTTCAGTTACTTTAGACGGCCAAACCCTCTTCGTCTGTCATCGAACCAGAGGCCAATTTCCTGAAAATAATCACTTTTGCTTTGCATGGTTATTAACCAATAAAAGGTTCAGAACTGACTTGGAATTCTTTCCTGCTGTGGCGACATCAAACCCGTGACGTTTCTCCCCGGTGTTAAGACTTCAGATGTTGGAACCTACCCTGTTTAACCTTTCTGTTCCTTCCTCTCGTGGAAAATGGTCTAAATGTTCCACTTCAGTGAAGGCAACTAAGGTTTGTGTAGATGAATAATTAACAGCAATTTAAAAAATGTTTTATTGGACACAAACTATGGTCAGAGGCGAAGCTAAGGGCTTTCTAGTATCTTCTCAACAGCCCCATGGTGTAAATATCAAATTACCTACATTGTGTAAATGAAGGTGAGACCTGGAGTCCAAGCGGTTCATCCTCGTGTCCCAGGAAGGGCAAGGTCTGTGGTCCGTTCACAGGAGCCCAGAGGGAGGAGCCCAGGTGCTGGGGTCACAGCACCCTTGAGAACAGAGCCATGAAAATTTACACGAAGTGGAGGAGAAGCTCTGGGATGTGCGTGCCTTCCAATAAGGTGTCTTGAGTGCTATTTCACACCCCAGATGTGTTTCAACAAATCAGGAAGAGGAACCCACTGGCAGAAAAGAAGGGTGGTTTTTCCAGGGGTGAGTTAGGCACCAAAGGCACCAGGGCAGTCCAGGAAGCAGCCCCGTGGGCTCCAGGTGTCTGTGACCGGAGAGCACAGAAGTCAGATCCCCCACCAAGAGCTGCCCAGACAGCCCACGCTCTGCACCTGCGTGACTGAATTCCAGGTGGAGCTGTCCCCACAGAGAGGACACGCATGACCATTCAGCAGCTGGCTTTGGATCTGTGATGAATGAACTGGCATTCTGGTTTCTGTATCTGTCACTTTTGAGTGCCATTAAGGAGAGTCAGTTCCCCAGAGCCTCATACACAGTGAGTGTGCAGACAAATTAAAATGTCTGCATCTGCAAATCAGGGAACCCCATCCTGTTCCTTCATGACTCATGGGAGGGGGAACGTTCTGCTCTTTCCTTTACCTCCTAGGTCCCGCTCCTTCCTGCTCCTTCCCCTGCTGCCCCGGGGAGCAGATGTAGAAGTCGGAGTCTGGGACGTTGGTGAGGCCGTGGGACTCACAGGGCGTGGTCCCTGCGTGGGGACTGGCCCTGGGTGTGGCGCTCCTGGCGACCACCCCCACCCCGTGACGGAAGAGCCCGCGCTCTTGGAGCGGTCACCTGAGCATTCTCGTTCTGTCCTCACTGTGGGCACGATCACCTCTGGTTGAGAACCGCGGCTTTAAAAAGGCTGAACCAGTCCCTGGCTAACTGGGGGTTAGGGTTAAGTAGCTAGTTGTGCTCCTTGAAATCCTTCAGGCGGTTGTGACAGGGAAGAACAAATCTGACTCCATCAGATCTGTTTCTTTTACTGTAAACTTTGTATTCTATTGCTGGTTAATCACTAAAGGGTCGTTGCCTGTAAGTTTAAATTATACCTAATGGCCCTTCTCTGGGGACCTTGCTAATGAGCGCTAAGCTAAATACCTTTGTTTGGCTCACAGGGAACATCCTGACTGGCCACCCAGGAATGGCGGCAGGCAGGGAGAAATGAACACAGCCCCGCTGGAGGCCGACTGGACTCAGGAGATGTCTGACTTTCCTCCCTCCCCTTTAGTATCAAAGAAGCCTGGATTCTAATTTGGACAGTCATCCACCGTTTTCTCGGTCTGCTGGTTTTCTGAATAACGTCGCTGTTCCTTGCCCAACAACTCAGTTCTAGACTGTTGTGTGCTGAGCAGTCTGAGCTTGGACTTGGTCACACAGTGATCCCATTAAAACGGCCCTCAGTTTATGCATCCTCCACCCGCCCCAAACCGTTTGTTTACTTGGGAATAGCAGTCATGCTGGGGCCAACGTTCAGCCAGCTGCCTCCCGACAAGCGATGCTGGTGACTGCAGGGTCGTGTTAAGTGCACTGTCACTGGGGTTTAGCGTTGGGTTTAGCGGGTGTCATTTGGTCAGTGCTCCTATGCGAGTTGTCTGGGGACCCTAAATTCCACACGGGAGCTCAGGCCAGAGTGGGGACTGTCCATTCTCTGCCGAGTCAGATTCCCAGGCGACCACAGAGTCCCTCAGTCATGAATATTCGACAGGAGTCCACTGACCTCTGTGAATGTGCGCCAGAGACAGGCAGGTGATGTGGTGAAGACACGAGTTCCAGGCACTGAAGAAGTCCTCCTTCTTGGTTGTCACCTGTCAGGTTGACAGAAGAAAAATAACCACTGGTGATATTCTGACAAAATCGAGCTTACCAGCAAGGCAGAGGGCAGGTGCACAAGTTTCAGAACAACACCAAGCAGGGGTGTGTTGCGTGCAAGGACTACGGCAGGCTGGCCTCTGTCACCCCCAACACTGTTAGTTAGATAAAGAAATGCCGTGAACACACTGTGAGTCCTGTTTGTATATTTCTATCAATTCCCCACACATGTCAAACGTGGCCACCGCCAGCCGCCAATTCTTGAGACGTTAACAAGCGTTGAAGAAACGATCTGAAGCACAGGGCGCCTGCGCAGATAGAGGGAGCCGCGGTTAGTCGGGGCACTCGGCCTGGAGAAAACATCACAACTGGATACTTACATCTATCCTGCAACAAAACCGACCCACCTGTGTTCCCTCCTGCCTCCCACTGCAGTCAGGTACTTCCACAGGTCTTCAAATTACTTCTTATCTTGTTTCTTTCCTTTTTTTTTTCCCCTCAAAATTTGCTTAAAAGCTTTTGCTTGAAATTCCTTTCCCCACAGTTGGAAAGTCCAATATCAGGGTGCCGGCGTGGCCAGGTTCTAGGGAGACCCTCTTGTTGGCTGGCAGACGGCTGCCTTCTTCCTGTGCTTTCTCGTGGCCGAGGGAGAGTGATCTCGTTCTTTCTCTTCTAATCAGGCAACTGATCCCACCATGAAGTTTCCACCCGCGTGACCTAATCTAACCCTAAAGGGATTAGGGTTGCCGCTCAAAGGCCCCATCTCGTCGGGAAGGAGGAATTCAACATAGGAATTCGGTGGGGGGTGGACACAGACATTCAGTCCACAACAACATGCCTTCTGACTTACAGAAACAAACGTACTCATTCTTAGAGGAATCTTGTAACAGAAAGACCGCGGACTTCGGGGCTTGAGGGATAAAAACTGAAACTACAACCCTGTTACTATCTCATCTTTGTGGTGTAGACAAATTATTTCACTTTTGAGCCTTTAAAACATTTTTTTAATTTAAATATAATTGACAAACATATTAATTCCAGGTATACAACCTAGTGATTTCATATTTGTATATAACGTGAAATGATCTTCACAATAAATCCAGTTAACATCCACCCCCAGACGTAGCTATGAAAATTTCTTGTGATGAAAGCGTGGGGACTATAGTTAATAAATTAACTGCATTGTATATTTGAAAGTTGCTAAGAGAGTAGATCTTAAAAGTTCTCATCAAATTGTTTCTTGAATGCCTGTTCCACAGAGTTGGCATGTGGTAGTGGCAGAGTTTGAAATGTGCAAGGAATTAACATAAAGGTGGAAACGGATGCAGTACGTTTATGTCATTTATGTATCTAATGAGTAACTTTTGGAGGGTTATTTGCTTTAAGACTGTCTTTCAAGCACTCTAATGAAGGAAGTTTTTTGGTTTTTTGTCTTTTTTTTTTTTGCTTTGTTTCATGTTTTAATGGGAGGGAAGTGAAGAAATTTAGCAGGAATAAAATACGAAGAAAATACATGGAAAAGAAATGCCAAATCACGAAGCTGGCAGTTACAATCACATAGGTGAAGCTGAAGGCAGATTCTTACCTGATCAGAGAAGAGTATTAAATTGGGCACTTCGGACTTTTCTTTGTTTGTTCTTGCTTTCTCTGTTTTGAAAATCTAAGGGTTTGATATTTACACTTTGAGCAATCCTCTGCTCAAAGATATCACACTCTAGTAGGAAGCCAGCCTATGTAGCTTCTTCTCATTTCTTTTCTTTTCTTTTCTTTACTCTTCTCTTCTCTTTTCTTTTCTATTTCAGAGTCTTCTGCTTGAAGGATTGACCTGCGTCCCACACCTGCACAGTACCTGGGGGGCCTGGAGGACTCCTTGGTGAAACCCTTCCTATGACAAAGTGCTTTGTGTTCCAGTGGAAAGGCTGGCGCTGCAGAAAACCTCTACCTATGTATAATTTAGCATGATTACCTGGGGCGACAGGCACAGTTCGGAGGACCATGCCACATGTGCCTTGGGGTCCCCACCTAACTGGGGCATCTCAAGATGGTGGAGGGAGAGGATGCTGTCTGTCTTGATCCCTGCATGGGTGTCATGGGCACCATGGAGGTAGGAAATTCTCAGGGAACAGCCCACAGAACACCTTTGGCAAGGGAGAAGACCAGAGCTGCCCAAACACAGTCCTGGAACTCTCCCATCCCACAATGGAGGAAGACGCCAGGAAATCTGTGTCGGGCAGAGCCTGACGGACAGGCTCTCTTGAACCCGCGTCGGCTGCACCACCACCCCCAACCTGCAACCACCGCTGCATGGGAAGGAGAGAGGAAGGATCTGTCTGAACAGAGCTGCGAACATCTAAAAAATTTTTTTAGAAGTCAATGTATAGACTAAGTTTTCGCTGGCCCGATCAAGAGAAAACCAGAGTCAGAAAACTGGCCAGACAACACAGAACCCTGCTTGAAGGAGGGACATCGGACGGGAAAACCTTGCAGAGGATCCCTTGCAAAACTTACTGTGCCTGAACCCCTCCAACAGGATGAGGCAAAAGTAAAAAGCAAGTTCAAGTTTAGGGGAAAGGCCCCTTGAAGGCCTGCTAGCCAGCTCCTAAGTGTTTTTCCTTGTATGCCAGCATCACGGTGCGGCTGCAGGACTCACTCAAGAAGGCTCAGGGTAACCTCACCCTTGCTGGCAAGTGGCTCCCTGGCACCCCCACTTCCCAGATAGAAAGGCTGCAGGATTCACCCCCCACTGAAGGACGGCACCCAGGGCTTAGAACGTGGTGATGGGAAGGCAGCTTTACGAGGGCAGATGCCCGGGAAAGTAACCGACTGAGAAGTCTCTGGCCCTCTGAGTTAGTTTATTGGCAGGAAATGATAGTCTGAAGCCAACTAGAGGCTGCACAGTGGTCCACATGCCTAAGCAGGGCACACGCCATCCCACTCTCCAGTGGTCGAAACGAACAGACCAGAAGATCAAACTTGGGTTCAGCCTCCAACTATAGACTCAGGGTTAATTGCAGAGGGTCACTGCCCACAACTGTAACCCTGCTGGTAACTGCCCATGCAACACACAGGGATTTTCAATGTACTCGTTGCACAAAGAACATTGTAAAATGACAGAAATCAAGTATCTAACCCTCCAATGTCACAACATCTTAACACAAGGTTTCAAGAGAAAGCGTTTTTAAAAATGATACGGGTTTTTCTTTACTTCAAGCAGTAAACCTGCTGCTGAAAACTTGTGTCTAAATTAGCCTCATGCAAACTAAATCCTTCTTAAAACACACCAGACAACAGACACTGTCTTAAGCCCTTTCATCGCATTTGCTCATTTAGTCTTCAGAAGCCCTGGAGGGAGGTATTACTGATATCTTTTATTATCTTCATTTTGCAGGTGGAAACCTGTAACACAGAAAGGTCAAGGAACTTGCCCAGGGTTGCAGAGGTGGCTTCAGACTGGGCACAGATTTCTGAGCCCACATTCCTAACCACAGGGTACACTGCCTCCCAGTGGACTGATGGGGAGTTAGTTCCCTGGCAACACCTGTGCCTGCCAAATACACAGTTTATAAAGATGCACTGTCACACCTGGTCATATTTAATGTGACCCACTCCCCACACTGAAAGCCTCTAAGGGAAATAAATGCTTTCTTCCTATTAAGTCATCACACAGCCAAGACAGAGCTGAACTCATAAAGAAACCCCTGCTGCCTCACCTTTGATGGATGCCCATACCAATTCCCCCTTCCTCTTTTCCAGAAAAACCCAAGATAATTTCGAGCAGCAATACAGCCAGTTAAAAACACCTACCTCCCTACAGAGGATCTACAAAAAAACCTCAGCTAAGGTCACATTTAATAGCAAAGGACTGAGTGTTTCCCTCCTAAGACCAGGAAAAAGACAATGTCTATTATCTCCACTTCTATTCAACACTGTACTGCAGGTTCTAGCCAGGGCAATAAGGCAAGAAAAAGAAATTAAAGGTCCAGAGTTTAGAAACAAGTAGGTGAGACTGTCTTCATCCAAAAAGGCATGAATTTCTATGTAGAAAATCCTAAGGAATATACAACAAACCTACGAGAAATAATAAGCTAATTAAGCAGTCACGAGATAGAAGACTTTGATATACGAAAGTCTATTGTATTTCTGTATTCTCGAAATGAACAAATAGGAGTTGAAATTAAAATGCCATTGCAGTAGCATCAAAAATATTAAATACTTATGGGTACACTTTACAAAACATGTGCAAGATCTATACAGGAAAACTAAACAAAACAAAACAAAACAAAAAAACGACTGCAGAAGGAAATTTAAAAAAAGAACCTATTATAGTAGCCAAGACATAGAAACAACCCAAATGTCTATCAACAGATGACTGGATAAAGAAGTTGTGGTATACACACGCACACACACACACACAATGGAATACTACTCAGCCATAAAAAAGAATAAAATAATGCCATTTTAAGCAACATGGATGGACCTGGAGATCATCATTCTAAGTGAGGTAAGCCAGAAAGAGAATGAAAAATGCTAGATGGTATCACTTATATGTGAAATCTAAAAAAAAGGGACACAAATGAACTTATTTACAAAACAGAAACTGACTCACAAAAATAGAGAACAAACTTATGGTTACCAGGGGGTAAAGGGAGTGGAAAGAGATGAATTGGGAATTCAAAAATTGCACCTCTTGGGGAGTGATGGAAATGTTAGTTATCTTGATTGTGGTAGTGGTTTCATCAGTGGATACCTCTATCAAAAGTCATCAAATTGTACATTTGAAATATGTGTAGTTTACTGTACAGGAACCATACCACAATAAAGATGTTTAAAAAAAAGGAGAATCTAAATAAAGGAGAGATAGTCTATGTTTGTGGGTCAGAAAATCCTATATTGCTAAGATGTCACTTCTCACATTGGTCTATATATTCAACACAATGTCAATCAAAATCCCAGTGGATTTTTTTTTTTTGGTAGAAGTGGACAAGCTTTGTATAAA